TCTCGTGGGCAACCTCCATCTTCTCGAACATGCCCATGGTGTTGTACTGCACTTGATAGTCGGCATCTGACACCAGAGACTTTTCCTTTAGAGGCAATGCAAACACTACAGTGGCTGTAGGAGTTCCATTCACATTGCTGAGTGCCTCCTGGTAGGTCCACTTCGGCGCTGGGGGGTAGGCATTGACATTGACGCCTGGTTCGTCAAGCCTCCTATGGCTATTGCGGATGCTAGCTTCGGTCGACTGCCAGTACTTTTCGATCTCCCATATTGAGAGATCAGTACATCTCTGTGGGAAGACGCTAGTCAGCTTTCGGTTCTGGTTTAAGCAGAGGGCCGAACTCACCGTATGAATGCACCATGCAAAAGAAGTCAGGAAGACGTTGTCATTGGCATAGCATTCCGGCGAGGTATCGGCCATGGTCATGCCATGAATCTCCATCACATTGCTGCAATTAAGCGGACTGGCTGAAAGTGCCACACGACACGAGTACGCACACAGGGGCTCGTTGAGGAATTAGTCTATGAGATTCCACAAGGTTGAACATAACAACTAACCTGGTACATGGTGATACCATAGCCAATGAGTCCATGTCCTGCAATGCCCACTTCTTCAGCAACCACACCGCCAGCCATACCTGCGGCCGCCAGAAAAACGGCCGCAAGGCCTGGAAGTGAAGACATCCTCATGGACTGGACCACTTTCAACGAGTGTAGCAACGTACGCAGTCTCGATTGGGCTAGAAACTATCCACAACTCTGCCTCTTGCGTCGAAAGGAATGTGTTCAAAAGTTCGGAATCGGTCTCGGTTTGATTTTTGGACAAACCTAAGTCCGTATTGTGGGCAGTCAATGTCTTTCATAGAACTGAACTAGAATGGGCGCATGCTTTGCCTGACTACTGTGCCGAGGTGCCGGTTCTACGAACTATTAACCATCATCTCTGAATCATACACAAATCGATGAACTGGGAGAATACCGACCCTCGCCAAGACCCGTTGCCAAGTCCGATTCATTTGGGATGAGTTCTGTCATTCAATATGTTTCCCCGGGTTCTGCTGTCGATTTGCCGGTGGTTCGCGGTGTCCACCCCGATTCCCCGACCCGAGCTCAACCTCAATTCCCGGTCTACAAGTGAGCCAGTGGGACATTAGTTCTGCCTTCCTAATCGAGCTTTACGACTATTGGAACAATCTAAAAATCGAAAGCAGTTTGGAAGATCATCGTAACTGTTTTACAATCTGGTTGTGAAACATTTGGGCTCCTTTCCTCTACCTTGAGGGGAAACGGCGATAGAAAATTTGCTTGGAGTATAGTGGAACTTTATCCCAGCCAGTGAAATCCTCCAGGCATGAAGCAATAATCCTATGAAACCTGTGACTTGGAAGAATGTCTCCATATGATTTGAGAACATTGTTCCATGAATATTGATGATGAAGCATTCGAGTTTCCAGCCGAGAAAACACCTGACTTGCTGATTGAAATCATAGGTTTCGCAGAAGTGAGCTCGTGTTAAGGAGCGGTTTTCACTTATTATTACATCGAACCGTCACCTATATGGTTCAAATCAGCTTGTGAATCCTGTGTAATGGTCCATATTAAGTGTGGTGGCGAGTTGGGTGGTCGCTAGGGACCTCAATTGCCAGAGACACAGTTTGTCCTCAGGCTCCTCTTTCCCTTGAGTGTTCTTATGATAACATTTGATATGTCAATGCTTGTGGAGTTGTGGCATAGGTCTTAGATCAAAGCCCAAAGCCAGTTCGTAAGCGAAGATTTGCCAGTTCTTGATACTTGTATTATTGGTAAATTGTCACTGTCTACGACCAACGGCGCTGGTGAAAAATGGCTTCCTGGTACTAATATACACCCAAGCCCAACGATTTTGTGCTTGTTTGCTAAATTACTTCTCAGGCTGACTCTTCTGTTCCTTCGCATCGTCAAATGACCTCTTCTCCTTTCTGACGTTCTTCCACTCCAAGACAATTGCAAAGAGGAATGATATGGCGGCTAGGACCATGGCCAGCTCAAAAGTTCTCGTTAAGGAAGTGTTGACCTTGTCCAATGCATTCTGATACTCAGCGGTCCCATTTCCGAAAATCTTTTGCAGGTTGTCCTTAATCTGAGTAGCTCCGCCATCGCCATAAATCTTAGCAGCAACGGCACTACCAAGGTTCTTGGAAAGCTCTTGCTGGAAGACGCTTTGCGCAATAGGTACTGATAGAGCAACTCCTAAAAGTCTCGTGAAAAGGGTCAGACTAGTGCCCTTGGGAATCTTCTCGTTGGGCAGTACGGTCTGAACGGCTACGTTGGCCTGTTCGGCTCCGACACCGACGCCAGCACCGACTAGAATCTGAGCGCCAACACTGAAAGGCGTTATCAGTAACCTGAAGGATCTACGGTATAGTAGATGGTAGACTTACAGTATGCCAAGTGCAGCATCAGACTTGATGGTCATCAAGAGCGCAGAACCGGCTGTGACCAGGAGGGAACCCAAAATTACGAATGGATTGTAGAATCCAATCGCCATTACAAGACCTCCAGCTACAATTGAGCCAACGGCTGTACTGATGCAGAGTGCTAGCTGTTTCAAGCCAGAGGATTCGGCATCATCTCCCCGGATCGATTGGAACCTAAATGCCTTAGTGTAAGCAACAACATCTAGATGGCTAGTTGTTTCCAACACTTACCAAACAGGCAAGTAGAAGATGAAAACACCAAAAGCTCCATTCAAGAAGAGCAGGTAAAGGTTAGAAGACGCAACGGAACGCTGTTTCACAATACTGAGAGGCACTGTAGCATCGTCTCCCTGGAAGTACTGTAGTGCCATCCACGGGAGGAGTGTGACCCCGAATACAACCAAGACTGCGATGACGCGCGCGTCGTTCCACGGATACTCACCACCGCCCCACTGGAGCGCTAACATCAGACAGACCAGAGAAGCCAGTAGGAGGGTAGTACCAAGAAGGTCAAACTTCTTCGCCAGCTGGATCGGGGTCATAGACCTGAGCTCCGCTGAAGTCCGGCAGAGGGAAGGGGGCAAACAGAAGATGACGACGGCGACTACTACAGCTCCGATCGGGAGATTGACTACAGATATCAGATGTTGAACCCATGGTATGAAGACAGAGAAGAAAACCTACAGTAAAAGCACCATCTCCAAGAAGCTCTCTGGGTAATAGCACCACCTACAGGAATATTAGCTTTGGGTACGGATCACGAGACAGATAACCAGCAACTTACCCATGATAGGTCCGATAACACTGGCGATGGCATATGCAGCACCGAATAAGCCCGCAAACAGACTCCGCTTTCTAAGCGGCGTGATGCGAGCAATGACAATGAATGAGCCACCGAATACGCCTGCCATGCCCACACCCTGAATGGCTCTACCAATGATCAAGGCAACTGACGTCGGTGCAGAGCCGCAAACCGCGCTACCGGCGAGGTAGATGACCACCGAGGTCAAGAACGTCCATTTGTTGTTGAAAAGCGAGTAAGCTTGACCAAAGGGAAGCTGCAACGCAACGGCCGTGATCTGTTCTCCCGTACTGTACCATGCAATGTCATCGGAACTATTGAAGACGCTCGTGATGGTCGGGATAGCTGTCGCAAGTACGGTTTGACTGACTGCCACGATGAAAACCGAGCAAAAGAGCGCAAAAACAATGAGTCCCAACTGAACGCCTGTCGGATATGGTGGTTCATCTGCCTCGGGCTCGGGCTCTGTTTTCTCTTGCGATTCCGTCGTGCCGGTCGAATCGTCGCTGCCTTCCATACTGCTGGCCAGAGAGGAACCGTTCGCTAGGGCTTCGGAGGACTGCCATTCTTTTTTGAGGGGATCCCCGAGGCTTTCAGGGGGCGACATATTTGGCTGAGATCTGGTTGATCAATCTGGGAAGTGGAAAATATGAGGGTTTGATTCGCTCAAGTGAGAACTTTCGAGCAACTGTCTAATATTGGCACGGAAAAACAACTAAGGACGTGCGACGTGAAGATGATTACTGGTATTTGGATGCCTTTATTCTAATTGCCGTGGCGCTACTATTGTCATCGCGATTCATAGCCCAACTGGGTTCGCCGATGATCAAGGTTGCGTTGCCGGGGACCGGGGCCAGGCTTTGACCGCGTCCTCGAGTTCCGCCCACCTGCTGCCCACATGAGTGTATTTCTGAGACTGTAACTGTCACTGGCCACTATCGAGATGAATGGTATCTGTACTTTTAGAGTTTTGACAGAGTGAACCTACCAATCAGCTTGGCTGCTCATGTTGAAAACCAGGGTGAACCGCTATTCCTCATGATTCATCGCCGATCGTATTGTCCCAATTGAGTATACGAGAGCCCCATTGTGGAAGGAACTTGAACAGAAGATGTTACCTTGAAACTAGACCGAGTGATGCCTCTCAGTTATCACAAGTAAACTTTTCTCATCAGTGATACCCAGTAAAACATAAGTAGTCGGGGAACCCACATGTCCAACCGCCGGTCGATCCAAGTGAAAGAACAAGATGCCTAGATCGCGGTGTCCACAGCTCGAGGGCACCGTTTCTGCTCTTTCAAATTGAATGAAGACATGAGGACATTCAAATCGAATCCAGAAATATTACCGATCCTCTAACTTCTCGAGAAAACGTGGAAATTGAGGTTTCCTCTGGCCTCGATGGTCCGACCTTGCATAACCAGGAACACGACATTTTTAGATCTTTCAACATGAAGAGTACTCAAGTGAGAAACGAATGATAGAATAGGACTTCAAATAAGTCAACTGGTAAAAGACTCCAACCAGTTTGGATAAACAGTCTAAGTCAGTAATTAATTTTCCGAACCTCCAAGTGTTCTTTACCACCACTTCATCCACTTCATGAGGGGAAGGACTTGGCGATGCCACTATAGCCTCGGAATATATTTCATAGAATAATAGTAGACAACGGAGTATGGAAAAAAAGGAATATCTGTGGATTTGATTCTAGAGCTAGACAAATCCAAGACGGTTCAAATCAGCTAGAGCTCGTCCTCCAACCCAACCATCTTCAATGAATCAGCCCACAGCTTCTTCTCTCCCTCCTCGTCGAATGCCCACGACTTGAAACCATATCCAGCCCAGTTGGTATCATCGGGAATGGGCTTGCTAACACCGCAGTCCTCCATGTAGAACCCGCCAATGCCATCATACTGCTTACCCACACACGCCAGCACACTTGTAGCAGCACCTTGCTGAACACTCTTCCACACCTTTCTGATATGAGGCATCTGAATGAGCTTCTCCAGCATCTTGCGAGTCTCCTCGTCCGAAGACTCCATCAAGCCGCTGCCGAAGCCACCAGGATGGATGCTGATAGCGTGAACCCCCTCAGATCCGTAGCGGCGCTCGACTTCGTTGCAGAACCAGATCTTTGCCGTGTTAGAGTGTGCATAGGATACGCCAGGCTCGTAGCCCTTGCCATTGGGGTTGGCCGTGTCGTAATTGTTCTCTGGGAGGACAGTCGAGGCCGTGTGAGATGTGCTAGAGGTGGTGACCACACGCACGTTCACGTTATTGTTCGCAGCCGTGTCCAGAAGAAGAGGCTTGAGAAGTTGGAAGAGGTAGAAGTGCGCGAGGTAGTTGACGCCAAACTGCTGCTCGTATCCTTCTTCTGTGTAGCCGCGTGGTGTTGCTGCAATGCCTAAGGATCGTCTGAGTTAGCAACAACTTGCGATGCAACTTGAATGTAAAAATGTCAACATCACTTACCTGCGTTGTTGACGAGAACATCCAATCGCACCGTGCTATCTAGAACATGCTCTGCGCCTTTCTTGACACTCTTCAAGCTACTCAATTCCATTTCCACCACCTCCAGTCTAAGGCTGGCATCTTCGCCTTGCAGCTGAGTCTTGACCTTTTCACCCTTCGCAAGGTTACGCGAAGTGAAGAATACCTTCATGCCGGTCTTGGCTAGATGCCGAACAATCTCGAGGCCAATGCCGTTGGTGCCGCCCGTCACCAACGCCACTTTGTCATCCAGCTTGCCAACTAGACCTTCATCTTGAATGATCTGAAGTGCAGTCGGGCGAGCATCACCTTCACCCTGGGGGTTGGCATGTGCCGCAGCATAGCGATTGGGGATCTGAGGCAGGTTGGGGATGTAAGGCATGTTGAAGTATGTTTCTTGAGATTCTTCCGGAGCTGTGTCTTGACTGTTTTTCGTACACGAAGCTTGACTAGAAGAGCTTGGACGACGTGTGCTTGGCGTTTGCGAAGTTTGGCTGGAAGAGCTGGGACGTCGTGTGTTTTGGGTGACAAGGTCTTGGCAATATGTATCTTGACGGATGGAGCTGCAGCGGAAAGAAGTCTTTGTCAACGAAGAGAGATCTTTGACTCGGGGGATGTGCACCATGACCAAGGTAATCGGGTTGCTTTATTTCTTTGCATATTCTGTTTGACTCGTTCTCGAGTTACCATTCCCTCGGAATGCGCGGCAACAGGACTATCTAGAGTTATTTTCTCAGCATCAATGCCGGGAATTGTAGTTTAATTGTGACCCCAGTTGAACCCGACATACTCATAGCATATGGTCGGGTACGGGAGTTTACAACGTGTTTTTAGGAGCCCTGGCTCCCCAGGTGGACTGAACATCAGACAATTGGCACTAGATCGATCTTATTTTATCAGTTCACTGGGAAAACCTAAGCGGAAGCACAGATAGATCGCGACGAGATTCGGTGATACATAATTGAATCAGAGGTGAAGCTCCGCAATGATATCAAGCTAGATAGCTCCTCGACTCTTTTCCACCCGAAGACACACGACGAACATGCTGTGAGAGCTGCAGTTGGGGTCATCGGTAACTGTATTACCGGCGAACAGTGACCGCGCAAGGTTCTCCGACCGGTAAAAGTTGGGAACTTATTGCCCAACTTGGCCAATTTGATCAGAGACTGACCAATCAGGGTCGACTGCGGCACCTCGAAACTCTAAATTGATGGTGTGAATTCAGGCCCGGCCCGTTTTTGTTGTCTCGGGGCTTGAATTGGACCTATTTGCGTGTCCGAACGGCAAAGCAAGGGCGTAAATAATCCGCAGACCGCTCTGCTTGGTAGCGTTCAGAGTGAGTTTAGTCGGGGAGTCAACGGGGAGTCTCTGGAAGCGGCGCCTCGAGGACTTTTTGAATAGTCCTTATTGCCTGCCAAGGACTCCGTCAATGTTAGTTGAGGATAGTCGGTAAGTTCCTGGTACAAATTCCTACTTGCGGGGTCCAGGCTCGGGGCAAACTTTTGCTCTGCGTGTTGCACGTCTTCAATCCCCGACTGAAGGGAGTCGTGGACTCATTAAATGCAAGACTGACATTCCCACTATCCGCTTTCCACTTCCCACCGATTGCGCGGCTAGTGCTTCACCACTCTCCTCAGGACATCCGAATTCCAGCTCGTTGTAGCAAGCTATCATTGTCTTTGTCTTTTGCAAATATGCCGCACTCCACTCAGAAGCCGGTGTCCGTTGAGTCTTATGTCAACTATCACCAACCGCCGCCTAAGGGCGAGGCATTTCCTGTTCAGATGATCGCCACTGTGGGCTTTCAGCGCACCAAGTACAACCGACAACTCGTTCCGGTCACAGACATGCGCACGTGTGATGAAGAGTTCAATCTCGACACCCAGGGCTTTAAGGTCGTGGAGAGCACTGTTCAAGAAAGAAGCTGGGAGGGAGACTACAGATTTGGTCTCCCCGACCAGCTTCGGAAGGATGTCCAAGAGCTCTTGATGAGACAGTAGGAACAGCCATATATCGATTGTCAAAGATATCAATTGACAAGTCACACAGCTCGGGCGCAACCTACGTGCACCCATTTGCCCCTCATGTCATACGTCGTGATCCTCATGAGAAGATTCTAAATATTCCGGATGACCTTCCTGACTCCCAGGTCCTGAACATGCAGCCACCCGCCATGTTCATTCACGTCGGTAAGTACCACAACGCTATAGATATTTCAGAGTGCGGCACTCACGCAGCAAAGATCAATCGTACAAAGGGGCAGAGGTGGTGCTCGATCGGCTTCCCGAAGCAGAGATGCTCCGTACCAAGACCAAGACCCGGTGGGGAATCATCAACGTCTGGCATCCACTCAAGCTGGTCCAACGTGAACCGCTGGCGGTCTGTGATGCGCGAAGCGTCGAAGAGTCTGATCTTCGGCCCGTCACCACACGCATTGTCCTGGGCAAGCCGCCCAACACCATTAATAAGGACAACGAGCAATGGCATATGGTGGCGAGCCCGCAGCATAAATGGTATTACGCCAGCAACATGACCCCGGACGAGGCGCTCCTGATCAAGATATTCGATACCAAGCTGGATGGTAGAGCTAGACGGGTGCCGCACACCGCAATTCAGACACCAAAGGATGTTGGGCCACCACGGGAGAGTATTGAGATCAGGTGCCTTGTGTTCTGGGAGGACCAAGAATTGGAGTAGAGAGAACTAGCAATGTTCTGAGATCATATCTATACTTTATGTATCCAGCGATATAGGCAAATTGAGAAGACCAAAGGGAAATCGAACTATCAGTGTTACCTTACATACAAGACAATGGCGGTAAATGACCGAAACGCGCAGCCAATCCAACAACTGGGTCGGAACAAAAATTCTACGATGAGTTAAGAGCTTTTTGAGATTCAGTCAGTCCTTATGGAACCAGCCCTCATCTCATGGACACAAGTGTATGATGGCCCTGCTTGATTGTTCACTAATACCGATATGACAGCCTTTCGATCTTGACTGCATCAGGGGCGGAAATACGAAATTATCTGATTGCATCACATTGTCTTTGAAGCTACTTCTCTGAGGCAATTGTCAAGGCAACTAGAATTACATGTTTGGGTCTTTTAGATAGTATCGATGTTTGCAAAAGGCTTAAATTGGCAGATCCGCCATAATAACGGCAGAGACGAGGCTTTTTCACGAGATCCGTCGTAAACATTACTGTAGCCAGAAATTTCAAGTTATTTCTCGATGAACTTTCAGTCATCTCAACTACCAAGGCTGCACAGGCGTGCCGTAAACCGCCATGTTCACCACCTTTCCAACATCGGCATCTCTCTTTCCTTCAACAACATCAACAAGTGCCTTGCCACCAGCGGAAGGGTCTCCGGCACCCATCTTCTTCATAGACTCCGGGTCACCCTCGCCAATGTCAGTGGCGAAGAAGCCAGGAGCAACGCACCAGACCTTGACACCGTCGTTCTTCAACATGCGCACCCATTCGAGCATGACCATATTAAGGCCGACTTTAGCCGCTCTGTATGAAATGGTGCCCACAGGCTTGGGAATTCCAGCTGGCGGAACCCTGTAGGTGAAGTGAGAAGAGTCGGCCGCATTTTCCAGCGAGGACACACCGCTGGTATTGAAGATGAGACGAGGGTCAGGAGACTTGAGCAATAGCGGTAGGAACGTGTCTGCGATGATGTGGGGGCCAGTGACGTTAATGTCCCAGGACTTATTGTAGGCCTCGCGGACCGTCATGTTGCCGCGTTCAATCTGTTGATCCAGCATGACGCCTGAATAAGATAATAGAGTTAGTCTAAGGCCTCCAGAGCCCAACCCCTACAGTACAGCAGGAGTAGCATACCGGCATTGTTGACAAGCGCATCAATCCTGTCAACCTTGCTGGCGACAGTCTCGTACGCCTCTCTGATGGAGTCGTCGCTTTCAACATCGAGCTGAAGTGGCTCCACAGTGCTGTTAGACTTGACCTCAGCCGCAGCAGTCTCAGCAGCGGCCTTTCCCTTGGCAAAGTCGCGGCTGCCTAAGAAGACGTGGTACTTTTGCTTGGACCCAAGCAATGTCTTGACTGCTTGGTATCCAAGGCCCTTGTTGGCTCCAGTGATGAGAACAATCTTGCGGTCAGCCATCGTGAAGAGAGTTGTAAATATGAGATATGAGATGTTGCGTATTCTAAAGCGGAGAGAAAGTGGTGGTGCTGCAGTGAACGATAGACGATTGTCTGGTCTATGTGTTAACTGAAGAATTGGGTGGTGAGCAGACGAAGTAAAAGTCAAGGAATATTGGCATTTATATCATATCCAAGTAGAAAGCAAACGAGATGCATCAAATTGTCTTGTCAATATCTCCCTGATCCAAATGTCGAGCCGGCGATCGCACAATTTGCACTCTGAACTATAACTCGGAGGCTACGCGGAATCGAGGCTTTTGCCGTCGACAAAGTTGAGATTATCGGCAGGTAGACGATTTAGCAGCCCAGAGCTCTTTGGGCGACGTTTCCCGCCCGCGGTAACCGGGCCGGGGAACTGTGAACTTTCGCAGTGCCCGACTCAGCGCTAGGGCCCATAGTAGCCACGCTGCCAAAGGATGCATATGTGGACTGGAGCTGAGCTTGGAGCTTGGGACAGAACGCGAGAAAGGAGGGCTCCGGATTTGAAGAGCACTGCAGACATCTAAAAGGTGATGTCCCCCTTCCGCAAGGCCTGCGTTGTGGGAGCCGCCGTCTGGATCACTGGAATCTCATTCCGACAACTAAACCTCAAAAACAGACAGGATGGGCTCTCTCGAACAACCAAAGCGCAACTTTGCTTATAGCATCTACGTGTATAAGAAAGCAGACCAAGATGAGCAGAGCCATCACAATCATATTGAGAGCGTAAATACTCCGATCATCAAACCACTTCTTGAGAAATATGGAGCTGTATCCTATACTGTGGCATGTTGAACGTCCTGCGTTCGTCGAACAGATTGTCTAACACGTCAATAGACCCACAACGATGCTTCCGCCAAAGCAGACTTCAAGAAGCTGTTTCCTGACGCGCCTAGTGCCATGTTACTGGATTACGATTCGGTCATCTCAATAATCGTACCCAATATTGGGTGTATAGAGAAAATGCGTGACGATCCTGACTTTTTGGGCAAGTTCATCCCTGACCATTTTAATTTCGCTGATATGAGCCGGAGTCGGTAAGTTGAAAATCATCCGTGGCTGCAAATTGACTTAGCTCCCTCAATTGCTGATGCTTAACTTAGCTGTGTTGTGGGATGGGCAGAGCACTATACGTTCTAGCAGGTTGGCCGAAGAGTAACTGGAATAGACCCATTACTTTGTTGTCTGAAGTTGTCCAAATTACCATGAATATCTTATTTCCTTGATTGAAACACTCATTTCTTCGTGCATGTATCAAGGTTCATGTTTTCATTATTTGCTCTTCTAGATGCGATACATATGTGTAAGAAGCCATGTCGAAGCATCGTAAGGTAGACCCTAACGACTACTGTAACTTGAACTCACTGACGCTTCTCGGCAATGTTTTCAAGTCAAGCTTCCCTGAACAAATGAAGACGTGTCCCGGACCTCCAACTAAGAGAAATATCAATGGACAGCTGATATATCGTACGGCCATTTCCTCACCACCTTCGAAGGATTCCCAATAGCTGTATGCCAACCTGCAAGAGTTGAGCGTGGAGCCTACACGTAGCGGTAGGTCCCACACGATCTCTGGCTCCAGATAGGTCCAATGAAGTTTCTTACTTTTCTTACTGCTGTCTGCCGTACTATGGCCTCGGAACAGACAACTTGAGAACCTTCGGCCGGTGTCATTAGACGGTCAAGTGAGCTCCTTTTACATCGCGATCTTCGTCTCATCCTTAAGATACCCGGATCTGGGCCGGCCATGTATGTGCAAGATTGTGATTTCGCAGGGGTCACCTGCCTGTATCCACCGGCAACACCTTTCATCGAAACTGAGACCCGTGCACAGCGACCGGGAACTCAATCACCGCAAAACCAGGGAGCATAGCCCGGCACTTGTTGCATCGGTGACAAGAACGCCGTGATCGATATGAAGCTCGGAAGGCCTGCTGCTACGGCCGAAGCGCACCGAATTATTGGATATTAAAGGTCAACTTGTGCAAGTGTTCGTCAGACGTTTACACCACTTCAACAGTCAAGCTCATAAGTCTGCACCAATAATAATTTGCCCATCATGCCTACTCTTGAACTGAACTACGCCACAAAGGACGAGCTGGCCTTCCTCGACACCGAGGTCAAGAGAAAGCTCAAAGTCTCCGGAGACAAGATCGAGTACACCGCTACCGAGCTCGCGGAGAAGGACAGCGAGGAGCGCGCAAAGCTCGCTGGCGTGTACAACTTGAACAAGGAGTCTTACGATGCCACCCTCAACTATCGTCTCTGCCCCACCAAGGGCGGCGACGAAATGATCTGGGGCGGTACCTTTGCCCAGATGCGCCGCAAATACGACCCGCGGCCGGTCAAGATCTACAACGCTCGTGGCAAGGAGTCCGAGTTTAGCCTGGACAAGACCGGATTCCAATTCGAGCACTTCCCTACTTCGTACAAAGACTTCCCGTGGAGTCCGATCGATGAAAAACTCAATAAGATTTATAATGCCGAATGTGAGGAGTTCATGAGAAAGCTGTAAGTGTCTCCTAGAAAAAGACGACTCGCAACTTTTTACTGACCTACCTAACCATCAGGACCGGAGCGAGTGATGTCCGTGTTATCTCCCACATCATCCGCCAGCGTCAATGGGAGAGCACAGACCCCGAAGAGGATAAGGACAAGCCGGACATGGCCATGACAGACGGAGGTCTGCTCTCCGCCCGCTTCGTCCACATCGACCAGTCTGACCTAGGCGCCAAGCGCCGCCTTTATGATGACCTTCCTCCCGGGGAAGGCGCCAAGCACGACGGAAAGCACCGTTGGGCCATTGTCAACCTCTGGAGACCCATGGACGAGGTCCACCGCGAGCCTTTGGCCCTGTGTGATGCCAGATCCGTTCGAGACGACGAGCTCCACGATACCATGCACTGCGTTCCCTTCCGGTGGCCTCACAAGCCTACTGAGAACCATATGTGGCAGGTTGCGCCGCCCGAAACGCCTGACCAGCATAAGTGGTGGTTCCGCGGCGGTATGACGAGGGACGATGTTATTCTCATTAAGATCTTTGATTCTAAGAAGGATGGACGTGCTAGGCGCACTCCTCACAGTGCTTTCCCTACGCCTGATGATATCGGTCCTGCGAGACGGAGCATCGAGACTCGATTCTTCCTCTTCTGGGAGGACCAGAGCTGCGAGTAGAAGGATGCAGGGCAGGATAGCTACTGCACACGGACTAAAGTAGATTGTAGCATATGATTGAATTTAGCTAGGCGAATCAAGTCTCCTTCCTGAGCTATGCTGATTGTCTCGTCGATGAATTTCATCTTGGTATCATATAGCTATCGATTCACTACAAACTTCGCATCAATGAAAAGGGACTGTCAAATTTCTTTTGGTGTCCTTTTAGATCAGAAAACTATTTAGCCCAACAGTTGTTGCACTCAATCATCGAGATCTCAAAAAGCTTCGAGGCAAGGCATGACCGGTAAGAGTTGAGGCACCTGAAAGATGGAATTCGAACGAATGACTTAAGTGATACACGTACAAATATAATCTGCAGTATGCCTTGGGAACTTATTAGTTCGGGACTTCTAACATAAGATCGAGAACTAAATGATATGCGTATGCTGTCCTAATCCTCATTTCCAATCTACTTATCCTCAAATCACCTCAAGTCAGCCTCAACTTACAACCATCCCACATGCGGCGCGATTGCAAGAGCTGCCTTATCTATCAACTACTGTTATCTCCTCCGACATAAAGTTCAACACATACTCCATTCAGTGCCCGCTCTGATACATGGGCCTGGAATCTCATCGTCCGTATGAGGGCGACCACTTGCTGCGAGCTCGAATCTTGTCCCCATAGTGATAGAAAAGGAATGGGATAGGAGCCAAGACTACACCAAACAAAGCCAGCAGTGAAGTCGCACGGGCGACGCCAATCGAAGTGTACATGGATGTACTTGATGCAGTCAGTAAACACGGCGGTAAAACGCTTAGGCGAATTCCGAGAAGACTCACGCAAATACTGGAAATCCTGACGCAAAAAGGGATCGCATGAAGGTGTTGGCCGCGATCGCCGAGTTGGAGTTAATTCCATAGCAGTCCACGATGTAGTTCATTCCCTGCATGTTTATCAAGATGATGCCAATACCGATAGGTACGCCCGCAACAATCTGCGGCCAGGGGTCCGTCGATGGCGAACTCGTCGCCGCGAACCAGAACATACCGACGGGCAGACAGACTGTCCCGATCATCATCAGCAACAGCCTGTTTTCCTGTGGGCGGCCAGCCTTAGGATCCGGCGACAACTTGGTGTTGACTGTCGCGATGATGAGCGCGCCGCCGAGGATCGTGCCCAACAAGATGGCAAGGAGCGGGAGGCCGGCAGACGTGGAGTCCCAATGGCGCTCGCGTTCAAAAGACATTGGGTAGGCGAGAAAAAAGATGTACATGAGTCCTATGATGTCGTTAGTCAATAGTTTGTTGCAAACGTGTTTAAGATGGTAGCATACCGAAAACGACGGAGATGTAAGTGGACATCAACAAGAGGATGGGCTCCAAAAAGAGCATCTTGGCCGGACGCGAGAGGCACTTCTCGACAATGTCATTGAGATTGTTCTCCTGCTCTTCAGACTTTGCTCGCAGAGCCCAGTTGCGCGTCATATGACGCATTCGCTTTGCTCGTCTTTCTAAGAGGATCGGGGAATACGTCTCGGTCAAAGCTGGATATGTGACCACGGCGACGGTAAGGGCAAAGATGGCCGTGATGTTGAAGATCCACCGCCATCCCAGTAGCGGGCTCTTGACAATGACTGAGCCGATCATGGGACCGAGGACGGGCCCGATCATGAGAAAGGTTCCCGTGCAGGGCATGGCGAAGCCCCGCTGCTTCGGGGTCCAGATATCGGCGAGTGTGCCGCTCAGAATGGCGGACGGCGCGGCGCCGAAGACACCCTGAAGGAAGCGGAATACGAAGATTGTGTACAGACTTTGTGCACTGGCTGCCGGGAGTTGGAGGAGGGCGAAGGTCACGTAGCCGACCATCAAGGGGCGCTTTCGCCCATAGCGTTCCGAAAGAGGCCTGTAACGTAGGGTGGAAGTCGTTAGCTCAGGCACTTTCACAGCTCATTGGCGAGGGATGCAGGGGTAAGGCTCTCATACCCGAAGATGATGGGGCCAACAGCAAACCCAAGCATGAAGAGCGAAGTACCGCCAAAAACCATGTTCTGCACCGTGGTATTATACTCAGCGGCAGTTACGCCAGCAGCTGCGCTGAACACGGACGACGAAAAGGTCGTCGATAGCACATACAGCGCCAGCACCAGCGTGATGAGCCATTTGCGGGGTGTGGGCAGGTTTTGGGGGCAGCCCTTGTCATCTGGGCTGAGCCAGTCGACGATGAAGTCACCGCCTTGAATCTTGGCGATGACTTGCTCGTCGAGGGACAGTGGCTCATCTGCGTAGGTGACTTCTGCTGGACTTTCGTCTGCTGGCGGCGCCATGGTGGATGTGAACCTTGCACTGAGCTGATTGTCACAGAGGTTTAAGATATATACAAAAGGAAAGAATGGAAAGATTGACTTTGAAGAGAGAATGGTGAACGGGAATAAAGTAAGTTACAATTTGTCCAAAGATCGTAGATATAGAAATGCGGAGTTCACTGTAGCAAATGAGTGAGAACACCCACCTGAATCACTGGGAATGTTCTTGGAGGTCTTGGGGGGATTTGGCAGTAATGTCGTTCCGCAGGCGAAGGGCTCAATGCCGCTTTGCTTTATTACAGGGGCAGACTTCACGAGGACACGGTGACCATGGCTCAGGTCGTATAGGAACAGCCCGACCGCTGAAGCCCGTCTGCCGTGTTACACCTTGAACACCAGTTGCCGTGGAAGCCGGATCACGCAATTAAGAGGTTCAAATGAGCATCATTTTCCTTGCTAAGGGCTGGTCACTAAAGCCGTTGCACACATAGCTCGGGGTTTGCTCTGCTTCATACCTGAATGCCTCCCGATTGTTCTCGGGAACGTGTAATTAACTAGGTTGAACTGACGCGCTGATTTCACCGTATCATGGGGATAAGGCCTGGGATCTGCTCCTTGTACCGTTTCGACGTGTTTCCCGAGCGAAATGTAGCCATTGAAAAGCATGGAGGGACCACCTATCAACAATTGTATTTTGCTTAGGCTGAATTCTGCTAAAGGGCTAGTTGTGTTGGGTGCGGCAATCGATCCCCGAAACCCAGTTGCCATAGGGCCGTGATTCGGCAAAGTCAATCAGTAACTTGAGGGCCTCTGATACCTTGTGGCCCAGTCAAGCCGGTTGGAATCGATTACGACATGAGTATCCCTGCGGATCATGGCTTTTCAAAGCCTACAGGACTCTGAGAACATGTAATCAGATTAGCACTTAAGCACATTAGGTGGCTTGATCAACTATGCGCTGTGGTGCGAGACTTTCCAATGTCAGGTGTGGGAGTCAAGCAACAGCAGTTGAGGGGTCCATTAAACAGGCGTTCATTGGTACGTATTACATGGTCACTACAACACCATCGACGTAAATCGCGATAATTGTGCAAAGAATAGAATTGTATTCCGTTCACTTAAGCGTACACGTCTTGATATTTCTCACTGGTGATGCTTCGCAGGTGTGCCTCCCAGCTTGCTGTTGTCCACGCCGAGGAAATCAACCGTCTCTTGCTCCTTCGATTCCTTACCGTGAGGAATGCAAGAACGGTCAGTGAGAAGGCACCTGTGGCCACGACAAATGTCTTCCCCATGACCTTCCACGAAGGCGGATACAAAGCCGTGTAGGCCCGAAGCTCATTGAGCAGCGATTGGCAGGCTGAATCTACAAAACGAAGTTAACACACAAGGCTCTAATGACTTGGACTTAACTTCAAACTTACCTCTGTGCCCCGAGGGAACCAAGACCCCATCGACGATGTGGGCGACGCCACCGAAAATGAGCACATCCTCCTTGAGGATCTTTGCTTCATTAATGAAGATGTTACCACGAGAGTCACGATTGACGGTGACTTTCATCCCACTCAAAGTCTTGTACTCGTTCCCTTCAGCAGAGAAGGCGCTATGATAAAGAACCCGGTTGGGAATGGCATGATTTGCGACTATCGTTGCCAGTTGCTCCGGTGTAAGAGATCCCAACGCGGAGCTCCACTGTCGTACTGCCTTGTCATCCGGCAGAAAGACAGTCACGTCCTTCATGGCCTCCAGAATCTCCCTGGTTTTGGATCTTTCAACTAGGTCCCAGAACTTATGCAGGTTGCCCAGGTTGGTGGTTTCTGAGAGGTTATGCGGCAAAACAAGGTTGCTATCGATGGTGTGTAGGACGCCATTGTCGTGGGTAATGTCCGACTCATTGATTGGCATGACCTTTTGGATGCCAGATTCTGCGGATAATGAGCCGTCGATGATGGAAAGCTTCACCGCCGGGCCATCTGTGACGTTTGTCAAAATTGGTGGGCGCAAGACAGAGTGAGCGAGCTGGGCGTCCGTCTTCAACGAAGGATCTGACGACGTAAAGACTCCCTCTAGAAAGTGGTACTCAAGAATGGCACTGGCTAGTGCTGGGTCGATAGTGCTCATGTTTAAACCCCAGTTGGCGAGACCAACGAGCGCGTCATCCGTCATTGCCAGGAACGTCGACCTCTCAGCGGTTTGGAACCTTTCCAGTAGATCTAGGTCCTTCAGGAGATCGTGAAGCATCGATAGCGACCCATGGCTGATCAGAGCTTGGCTTAGGGATTTGGCGGATGCACTGCCCAGCAGCACTGCTGCAAGAGCTATAAGTGAGAGCCGCATTTCCTGCAGCAAGAAGACGGAAATGAAGCAAGAATAAGATAACGGACTGAAGTTGACAAGCGGAGTGCTACTGAAGGGAAACGTGTACAGACGATTGATGAACTATTGTCTGAAATGTAATGGCTGTGGGCAGGCTCGGGGTTATGATACTCGACTCAGCACCGACCGGTCTTCAATTCCCGCTGGGCCATCTTCGCTACAAGTGTTCGGCAAGTTCCAGCGAGTCTAACGCATGTGCTTTCCCTGTGAGATGGCATCGACCAAGCTTCATTCCCTCCCGCGCCCAAGCCTCCAACTTACACCAGCTCCCACCTGCTTCATGGTCTGGCCTATCCTATTCTAACCAGAGGCACTTACACACTCGTCATATTTCCTTGTTCCAATAGGTCCACCAAGTTTTGAAATATCAGTATCACAATGCACCCTGTTCATCTTCTTTCTTACCTTCTGCCTTGGCCGTTATCCAGCTGGTCATCGGCAACATCGCTGGACGCTGGGACGTCCAACGTCCAGCAGTCAGTACAGCGCACCGTGCGCTTCGAGCTCCATCTTACAGCAGGCCAAGTGGACGCTCTCGGTGCTGGTCCACGAGCTGCCATTCTCGTAAATAACAGCTTCACTGGCCCTACTCTGCATCTCAAGCAAGGGGATGAGGTCGAGGTCATAGTCCGCAACTATCTGCAGGAAGACACAACTATACACTTTCACGGCATCGACCAACGCAAGACACCTTGGAGCGATGGAGTACCGGGCCTCACTCAGAGTCAAATCCATCCCGGTGCCTCGTACCGCTATCAGTGGACCGCAGAGCAGCCGGGAACGTTCTTCTATCACGCTCACTCGAAAGGACAGCTGATGGATGGCCTCTACGGCGCGGTCATTGTCGACGCACTACCGGAGGTTGACAGGCCTTTCCACCTCATCGATGGGAGCCTGGAGGCTCAACAGGCAATGCGGAGAGCTGAGCAGAACATGCAGCCGCTACTACTCGCCGACTGGAGTCAGTACAAGTTTGATGACTTTTACCATATCGAGGAGATTGCCAACTTCGATCTCGCCTGCACGGATGCAATCATTGTCAACGGCATTGGGTCACAGTACTGTCTTGACCCGGAATCCTTAGACAGCATGACGAACCCTATTATTCTTAAGATGCTGCAGGATCTCGGCGAGGACCATATGACTGCGAAGGGTTGCGTGCCTCCGATCCAGGCACTTCAAGGTGACTATGATGTGCACCTAGGCAAGCTGCCCGCCGAGTCAATCCGAAAATGCGTAGGCGGCAGAAATCCCAAGGGAAACTTCACCGTCAATGTCGACAGCAAGGAAGGCTGGGCGGCCCTCACGTTTATGAATGTTGGCGGGCTATATCCTCTGCAAGTCTCTATCGATAATCACGATCTACATGTATATGCTGTCGATGGACAATACATCAAGCCTGTTGTCACAGACCGTGTTTACATTGGCAATGGCAATCGGATTTCGGTCCTCGTGGAACTAGACCAGGAGCCAGCCCGATACATGATAAGGATGGCCAACGACCTTCTCAACCAGATTCTTGGGGGCTTTGCCGAGTTGGCGTACGACGGAGCGACACAGCAGCCAAGAAATACCCAGCCCAAGATGAACTATGCAGGACAGCCTCTCATCAAAAATATCCGCTCTTTCAAACCCGAAGAGGGTCGTCCATTTCCATCCCAACAGCCCGCTCGCAGACCGGATCGCACATTCAAGCTGTATCTGAGGAAGCCAGGCCGCCCTTACGGAGCATACGAATGGAGTCTATCAGGTCAAGAAGTATACAATATGACAGCCGAGGAACGAGACCCGCCATTCCTTTTCAGACAACCCAACGAGGTGCCCCAGAGCGAGCTCATCCTCCGCACCCAGGTCGGGGAGTGGATTGACATCATCTTAGAGACCGAAGGCCCCTTTGCGCAGAGCCACCCGGTTCACAAGCACGGCAACAAGGTCTACTTCCTCGGCTCCGGGGTCGGCAAGTTTCCCTGGGCCACCGTTGAGGAAGCGGAGCGAGCTCTTCCGCCCGGGGTATTCAACTTTGAGGATCCGTCGTACCAGGATACCTTCACGACGCCTGATATCGCCGGAGATGCACCTGCTGTGTGGACTGTCGTGAGGTACAAGGTGGAGAGCCCTGGCGCTTGGCTTTTGCATTGCCATGTGCAGACTCACCACGCTGGCGGGATGGGTGTGGTCATGCTGGACGGGATTGACGAGTTCCCTCAAGTTCCGACGACTTATTTGGAGTGGAATGGCTTCCAGCCGCCATCTTTGGACTTGAGGTAGCATTGATCATAGATTTCAACATCTTTTGCAAGCTTGTTTCGTTACTTTAGTCGTTTGAGCTGCTCCATGTAGCTATCGAGATTGTAATCCTTCAATACCTGCTTTTCCCTTTTGCTCGATTTACCTACGCGAACGGGACGAATGACTAATTGTTGTTGACCCCACGCGTTGTAAGTTGACCACCATTACTCGTGCCCCCAATTCGTTGTCTGGAAAGCCTGAAATTGGAAATCGGCACTTGGAACCGATTATATAGCTTGAGTCCCCTTAATAAAAGAAATTGTGTTAAAATTATGTTTGTCACAATGGAAAATGCGCTTTTTGCTATCAGAATTTCCAATTACCTTATCAATGGGGTTTTCAATTTGCTATCTGAGTGCTGTGCAACAAGAGTCTAACATTGGCCATCCTAAGCCGCATTTCTAGGCTTCGGGGCCGAGTTCCAGGGCAGTCCGCCGTCGATAGGCTCATTCCGGACTCTCGTCGCAATCAGTTCCTCAAACTCCTCCTTCGGCATGATGGGCAACTCGAGAAATCTGTTCCCCTTGCCATCCCAAGCCGTATTATACTTTCCGCCAAAAATGGTGTTATGAATGACCAGAAACGTAGCAAAGATGGGCGGCGTAGTCCCTTCCGCCTCCGCCCTTCTGAACATAGCAAGCCCATCCTTGAGCTTCTCCTCCCCATCAACATGCTGAACAGGCCACGTTTTGCCAGAAAGCCTCTCGGCGATATCGAGCATGTCCTTTTGTGACGTAGTATAGTCCTGGATGAAGATGGCGCCGCTCTCCATGTCACTAGACTTGGCAAAGATGTTCGAGACGGCTTTGGCGAGGGTAGGTCGTCGCGTCACACTAACACGGTGCGTCACGTCGCTGACCTGTAGAGCGGTCTGCTCTTGGTAGTTGTACATGTAATTCCCGTTCAGCACGCACCCAAGAAGAGGGCCCGTGGCGATGATCGTCCACTTCATCCCACTCTCGTCTGCCCTTTTCTTCAGGTGTTTCTGGATCGCCACGGCGTCCTTGTAGTAAGGGAACTCGGCAACTGCGGGGTTCGTCGACAGGGAAGTGAAATCGCTGGGGATAAAATGCTTCACCGAGCCAGCCTCGACGGCGGCGTCGATTAGTTTGTACTGGTGCGGCCATCCCGCGGGGTTGATGGCGGAGATGACGGCGTCCTGGCCGCGGAGGGCGTCGGTGACGCTTTCTGTGGAGGTGTAGTCGACGACGCGGACGTTCGGCGCGTTTTCCGGGTTAGATCGTGATAGAACAGTAACATCATACCCGGCGTTGACCAGTTCATCGTAAATCTTTTCGCCTACGTAGCCTTTCTGTCATTCTTGTTAGTTGCTTTCGCGGGCAGATGCTTTAGCTGAAAGGCCGATTACTCACGCCTGCGAGTGCGACCTTGCGGATGGGCGTATCAGTGGTACGGCCTGGCATCTTTGGAGTTTCGATAGTTACAAATCGCTTCTGCTAGGCTCTTGTCTTTTGAAACTTGCAGCTTCAACAATTATCAATTACATTGATGCTGTCTCCTCGCGCTTTATGGAGGCAAAAGGTGGTATAATCAAGCAGCTTGGGCCCGTCCCGGGAAACGGAGACGCAGCCGGGAACAGGATGGTCGGTCGCCGTACGTCCATTTCCCGCTGTCCCGAAAAGGCAAATTCAGAATGAGCGGGAAACAAGCAAAGCTCGGCAAGTCGACCAGTGAGACTAAAGCCGAGTCATTAATTACCCGATCAGTGAATGCTATGAAATTCGCAGCTTCCCTCGCGATCCATGGGCCTGGTGATCAATGTTGGCATCGTCCATTGCAGCGCAGTACAGCCAGATCATTTCCAAGAGTTAGCAAGCATGTTTGGTGCAGGTCTCCAACAGATTCTGCTTGGCCTGCCAGGCCTGTCGTCTTTCCAAGTTGACTCTGTGCAATCCCCTCTTGGAGGCAGCAATGTCAACCCGGGAAGCAACGTTCACGGAGCCGTGGCTTCATCGTCGACTTGTGTGAGTACTGTTTCTTGTATCTCTCTATTACGAGGCATCATACTAACTGTCTCTCAATAGTGCGAAGCTCTGGCTAAGTCGATGGGCAATGACGTTGTCGCCTTCCCCAACGGCCCAGCTTATAAGTCCTCTATCGGCTCATACTTCAGCCTCAAAGAAGCCGACCTGAAGCCAGCATGCGTCGTCATGCCCGAGTCAGCCCACGACGTATCGCTCGCGGTCCGCACACTCACGGCCGGTGCCGAAGCATGGAACGGCAAATGTCAATTCGCTATTCGTGGTGGCGGCCACACCCCCTTCAAGGGTGCCGCCAACATGGAGAACGGCATCGTCATTGACCTCAAGAATATCCCCGCTGTCGGCATCTCCGCCGACCACAAGACCATCACCGTGAGTCCCAGCCAAACCTGGGACCAGGTCACGGAGCAGCTCGATCCCTTTGACCTGAGCACCCTCGGCGCCCGCGTCGCGGGTGTAGGTGTGGGCGGCGCTGTCCTTAACTGTGGAACCTCCTTCTTCTCCCCCCGCTACGGCTTCATCTGCGATGTGGTCGAGGAGTTTGAAGTCGTACTTGCAAACGGCGACATTGTCCACGCCAGCGCGAGCCAGCACCCCGATCTCTGGAAGGCCCTCCGCGGCGGAGGTAACAACTTTGGCGTCGTCACCGCAATCACCATGAAAACCTTCCCGCAAGGCAAGTTCTGGGGCGGTCAGACCTTCCACGACATCTCCACGCGAAAGAAACACTTCAAGGCCCACGAGGCCCTCGCCTCGATGCATCCATATGACCCCTACGTGCACTACATCAACAACCTAGTCCTCAGCAATGTCACACGAAGCTGGTTCATTGGCAATAGCCTGCAATACACAAAGAGCGACCCGCCCGTCATCGAACCGGAGGTCTTCAAGCCCCTCCTCGCCATCGAGCAGAAGCCCCTTTTCCCCGGTGGTCCCTCCAACACCATCCGCGTCGACAACGTCACCTCGATTTCGCGCGAGTACGCTGCACTCGCATCCTACCCGAAGCGCTGGATCTTTGCCACCGTCAGCTTTGCGCCCTCTGCTGACATGATGGAGGAGTTCTTCCAGCTCGCCGACGCAGCCTTCACTCCCCTCCTTGACCTCGACGGCTTTGCGGTCGCCATGGCGTACCAGCCTGTTCCCATCGTCATGTCGGAACGCAACGGTGCTGTCGATTCGTTGGGGCCCGTTCAGACGCAGGGAAATCTTGTGTACATCCACTTGGGCATCTCCGTCGACGAGAATGAGAGGGACAGTGACGAGGCCGTGGAGAAGACGGTACAAAAGCTAGTGGAGGATGCTGAGGCGAAGGCCAAGAAGATGGGTTTGCATAGAAGCTATCTTCAAGCGACATACGCTGAGAGCTGGCAAAACCCCATTGAGCACCGGAGTAAGAGCACTCTGGAAGAGCTACTTGCGACAAGCGAGAAGTATGATCCGCACCAGGTCTTTCAGAAGCAGGTTCCGGGTGGATTCAAGTTGCCAAAGGTACCGAGTACCGGAGGTGGTGTCAGGGCCGATCTCAAGTGATGACGACGTGAGGACTACACATTGCTAGTTAAACTTAGAGAACGCGTAAAGTTTCTTATGAACTTCACTTTCCTGGCATTTCGTTACGTTGATCGAGACCAATGGGCATCAAATGTGGAAGAATTCCTACGTGGGTATTTAGCTACTACCTAAATAGAGTTAAATCTAGCGAACTATTACCTTTCTAAATATTGCTCGAGCAACGACTGTTTTGCCGTGATTAGAGTTAAGTCGATTGATGCGTTCATCAGTATGAATTCATGCTGTATCTAGGTGTCTAATATGATTACTGTTTGACTGTTTCACGTTGGCTGTACTCAGCTTAGTCCTACTCTCAATCATCTCACAAAAGCGTCAAAAATCGCGATGAACTATGAGCACGATCCCAATTCGGTATCGCAAAGGCCCAAGTATGTCCGGATTCGGATTCGATAACCGAAAGTAAGTATTGCTATCTGTGCTTTCGGATTCCGAAACCCTATGCGAACGATTACTATTCCATGTTCGATTTGGGATAGAGTCAGGATAGAGTTGATGTCAGTTTCCGTCGAGTCTCCCCACTCGGATGTTTGAGAGTAGCGAGCGTATCAAAGTCTTGCTTCCAGCTTCGTGACCGAGAAGTTAATGACAGTTAAGAATAAACGCATTGTCTACTTTTGTCAGGTTTTGGACGATCAGGAAAAAATAGATCGTTGATCGATTAGATTCGCGTCGCGAAGAAGTTACCTTGACCACTTCAAGGCGTACTGATATCCTTGACAGAAATTCGATGGCCGACCCCGACACGGTCATAACTGGAAATTCAATACCAGAAGCACATGGTGTGAATCTGAGAGTTTCTACATAGAAGACTAATGTAAAAAGGGAAAACACATTCTAGACTGTATTTACAGGAAGCTCCGATGCTCTACAAAGGAAAGTTCAAGACTGTTATGTGATCGATCAAGCATCAAATCGGCGATTCTTCCACCGAACGGACTACTTCGACATGCCAACCAAACGCCTTCTGAAAGTAAAGATCCCCTCGCCCTGAACTCCAGGAAGAATAGTATAGTGATGAACGAAAGAATGAAACAAAGTGAATTTAGAGACCCCGTCTGATAGCGTCGACCAATCTGTCTGCGCCGCTACCTCGCATCATGCTGAAGTGATGCTCCCCCTCAATGACCGTAGTCGTAATAGACGCACCGGGGAACAGCAAAGCCCACTCCCCAGGTCCGAAATTTTTCCTCTTCTCAGTGAGGAACTTCATCCCCTCACAATCCTCGCCTTCCATCATGGCAGGCGGCAAAGTCGGGTACCGAACCCCATCAAAAGCGCACTCCCCTGCCCAGATGATATTTACGTGTAACTTTCTGGCCGCCTCGGGTGACATGGCGGGCGCATGATAGTCATGCAGAAGTTCAGTTGAGGCGCGGAAGTGAGGCATCAACCACTCGGGCGGTTCAGACTGCTCCGCGCCGCGACGCATCTCGTTGCGGAAGATGCCGACCTTGTTGCAGTGGTCGTAGAATCTGTCAGGCAGGTGATCCAGGCCGTTGTTGGGCGGGGGAGAGTCAATAAGCGTGAGGGAGGTGACTTCCTCGCCGGCGGCAATGAGTTCTTGGGTCACTGCGTAGGCGAGAATACCGCCCGCTGACCAACCTCCGAGACGGTAGGGGCCACGGGATTGCTTCTGACGGAGGCCGGCGATGTAGGACTGTAGAACCTCTCGAAGAGTATGGTCGTACATTCGGCTCGGAGTTCTATAGGGAGACTTGTTAGTATTGAATCAGAGTGGCAGAAATAAGCACGTTATTACTTACTTTGCAAATGGCGAATTGAAGCCAACAAGTGCCGTAGTCGGCGAGATAGTCGGAAGACTCAAGTAGGAAGTGGCTACTCCACAGCCATCCGGGAAAAGGAAAAGAGTCTCCTTGGCTTTCGTGCGGGAACCTTGGAGGTACATTGACCACGCCGGTGGAATTGTAGACACGATAGGAGTCGATGGAACGGCTTTGCCCTTGAAGTCTCCAGCGCTCATGTCGATGACCTCAAAATAAGAACCAGGGGTATCAAGCCCATTGATTGGCGTCATGGCAGCGGAGAAAGGCGACGCCAAGTTGTCGAGATCAGGCGAGCCCACCGACGAAGCATTGTCAGATTCAACGCTTGTGATGTCGCTCTCATGCCCAGAAGACTCTGTCGACGACATCGCGGTGCCAGAAACACGCATCCTAATGTCGCCAACAGTGAGACACTCCTCAAATAGTGCCCGTTCTGGAAGGTCAACGTCAAGCTCGTCGCGCAGTCTGCCGCAAATCACAAGTGACAAGAGCGAGTCGATACCAATGTCAGCGAGGGCGACATCGTCGGCCAGCTCCTTCTCATCAAGACCACTCTCTTCAGCCAAGACTTTGAGAGCCACAGGCCAGGAGTCTTCTGCAGCTTGTTGCGCAGTGGGAGCAGCTTGAGTCTCGGCCAGAGAAATGTCTCCAAAGGTTGCCTTCATGTCCGAAGTGACGATTGCCTGGGGCTGTAGTGGTTGCGTTTGAGACTTTGCCGATAAGAAGCCACCCGAGACCTTCTTCATGGCCGAATTGATGATGTAGTCCATAAGGCGCTTGGGGACTCCCTGTAACGCGACCCCACCAAGAATACCGATGAGATTCTGATTCTGATCGAAGATGATAACATCTCCAGACCACAGTTTGTCCTTGCCCTCAGTCATCTTCACATATGAGTGGTAGGTCATGTTCGCATCGAGCTTAGGAGTGAATAGCTTCATCGACTCCCATCCATGGTTGACAAAAAGCTCCTTGTCAAGATCGACAGACTCATTGGCGTTCATAACAAAGCCAGCTAATTGAGAGATGGAGTCCAGGAAAGCGGGATTGGAGAACCACTTT